GAGAGAGAGAGAGAGAGAAAGGAAGGAAGGAAGGAAGGAAGGAAGGAAGGAAGGAAGGAAGGAAGGAAGGAAGGAAGGAAGGAAATGACAGATAAGGTTTCTGCTCTATGGAACTAACAAACAAGTAGACTGTTAATATAATATCAGGTATTAAATGCCCTGAAGACAATAAAATAGGGTAATGAATTAGAAAGTGATGGGGAAAAGCCTTTAGATTGGATGATTGGAAGGAAGTAACATTTGAGCAGACATTGGAATGATGAACCATGAAGAGGATTTTGTTGAAGAACATTTCAGGTAGTGATAGCTATTGTTTTAATTTTCATTTCTCTGATTACTCATGAGTTAGAGCATCTGTTTATCTGCTTGTTCAAATTTTGGATTTCCTCTTGTCAATTGCCTGTTTATGTCCTTTGCCCATTTTCTTTTGAATGTATTGCCTTTTTCTTCTTGATTTGAATATTTGCTGATATATTCTACATATAAACCCCTCATTGATTTTTTTTTCTTTTCTTTTTGTTTTCTTTCTGTCTCTCTTTGTTTTTTTTTTTCTTTTGACACAGGGTCTCACTTTATTGTCCAGGCTGGTCTCAAGTGAACCTCCCACCTTGGACTCCATGTGCCAGGCATTGTGCCAAGCACTCTACAGGCATGAGCCACCTTGCCCAGCCTGGTTTTATATTTTCCCTTGTTGGTTTTAGACATTGCAATACCTCTGGCATTCTTTCTATTCCTCAAACACATCAGCTCCTCTGCCCTCAGGCCTTCATCCTTGCTCCTCTCTCTACCTGTTATGCTCCTCCCAGATATTTGCATACAGGGATTTCTCCACATTAAGCTCTCAGATGTCACCTCTTCACACATACCCCTCCTCCAGGCACACTCCATTACATCACCCTGTTTTGCTAGCGCCAAGGCCCTATCACTACAGTCTGGTTCACTCATTGTTTTCTTGTCTATGTCCTCCTCCATCGCTCTGAGGATAAGCTCCAGCCAGTCTCAGTTAAACCTCAACCCATAGTGCAGTGCCTGGCCCAGGGGAGGTCCTCAGGAAACATCTGTTGAATGAATGAATACATGTGCCCCAGTCATGGGCCATGGAGTGAGGAAAAGGCAAGGCTAAGAGTGGTGTGCTTCAAGTGACACTTCAAATTAGGACAAGTTAATATTTGTTGAGTTTTTACCATGTGCCAGGCATTGTGCCAAGCACTCTATATGGCTTATCTCATTAGTCCTGATAATAATCCTATGAGGCAGGTATTTGTATTTTCTATTTATGAGATAAGGAAAGCAAGGTAGAGAGAGATAAAGGAAGCTGCCCAAAGGTCTCCTTTATCCTAGTTAGAAAACGGGCTGAGAAGAAACCAGGACCCAGGGGATCTGCTCCTGAGCTGAGGCTCTTAGCCACCACACATACTGCCTCTCAAGGGGAGGAATGAGGGGGAGAATGGCTGTGGCCAGGATAGAGCATCCTTAGAATCCGAGAAGTGGGGTCCTCCCAGGGGAGGAGGTGAGGGTGGGGAGCAGGGAGGGGAATCCTATCCCCTGTATGAGGCCAGTGAGGCCCAGAGAGGGTTAGTGACCAGGCCCCAAACGGGCAAGCCAAGCTCCACAAGCTGCGGCAATTCCACCGTCCCCTTTCACTTTCACTGGACAGGGACCGCGTGGCGCGCATCGGACTGGGCGTGATTCTGAACCTGGCGAAGGAGCGCGAACCCGTAGAGCTGGCGCGGAGCGTGGCAGGCATCTTGGAGCACATGTTCAAGCACTCGGAAGAGACGTGTCAGAAGCTGGTGGCGGCCGGCGGCCTGGACGCGGTGCTGTATTGGTGCCGCCGCACGGACCCGGCGCTACTGCGCCACTGCGCGCTG